CTCGATATATGATAATTCGAGATAAAAAACGATCCGTAGCGAACCGAGCGAGCGAGATGAGTCGCGCAGGATCGAGAAGAATCTTGTTATATACGTTTTAACGCATCGTCCACTCGCGTTAAGATATCACAAAGTATCGCAGGCTACTAGGATAGAGACCTGTCAACGCGAGACTGGTCCGACGATCTAATTAAGATTCCGTTTCGCCCTGGAAGCGGTCCTTTCATAATGGAGCGAACGCGGGGGTTAAAAGGAGATTCATGGACCGGGAGACAGAGAGCAGATAGAAACGTCGGAATTCTTGACGGGTCGACAGTCTGAAACCATCTCGCCAGGTACGCACGTATCTATACCCGCATAATTACACCTCGAAACGGATCATCCGACTTCTCGGGAGAAATTGAGAGGAAGCGCGTCGTTTAAGCGCGCTCGTTATCTTAACGAGCCAAGCTTCTTTCATGCTCCGTTCGAGATTGAATCGCTGACAGGAGGACAGAGAGAGTTGTGCGACGGGCTTCTTCAGCACCGATTTTCCAAGGATCTCCTAGGCTGCGTTTGGAAACGTAACCCTCCGTGTATCGTTTTGTCCTTGTTGTTCCACCTAACGTTAAACAAGGATAAAATGGTACATGAAGGCAGTACTGGACGGAGCATGTGGCGAAATGTCTTTGATCTTTTGTCTTCCTATCTAGAAAGAACAAGGTAAATGTTTGGGCATGGAGCTCTCTTTCTACACTGAACAAAAAATTGGCTGCTGCAACAAATTAGATGGTAAAATATGGCATAGAATTTTTAATTGGCTGTAGCAGCCAATTTTTGGTTGCGTTAGCTTATCCGCAATGTCACACTGAGAAAAATAGTCTGGTTGGATTAAACAGTAACTCTGGTGGAAAATAGACGAATCAGAATTTTCTGGTTACGTCTATTAGAATTCTAGTTGAGATAACTAGAATTCTGATTAATATAATTATTCTGGTAAAAATAAGAATTCTAGTAGATTTTACCAGAAATATAGTATCAACCAGAATTCCGGTTATCTCAACTAGAATTCTAATAAATTTAACCAGAAATTTCTGATTCGTCCATTTTCAACCAGAAATTTTTTTCAGTGCAGTATAGGACTTCAATAGGCTAACACAACCAAAAATTGGCTGCTGCAACCAATTAAAAATTCTATGCCATATTTTACCATCTAATTTGTTGCAGCAGCCAATCTTTTTTGTCCTATTGGTCGCTACTACCCAGACATCGTTCGATCTCTTTTTAGGTCTGTCAAGATGGTTTCGATGCTATGCTTCGTCCAGTATTATACGTCGATGAAACGAAGGAGCGAGTGGGACGAGTATGAATGCGGGCACAGGTCCAACGGAAAATCGGAGTGACGCTCGATCAACTGGCAAGACCAGTCGAGATCTCTTGGCGAAATCTCCTTCTCGGTTCACCCTCTCCCCTCTCGTTCATCCCCCGGCCCTCCTTTCTGCCCCTTCTACGATAAATCGCGCTGCCATCTCTTTCATTGTCCAATTGGTAATATCAGCCGCTATTACGCTGTTGAATACATTTAATAGACAAAAGATTGGCAGTGGCTCTCATCGCTCTCGCCGGTCTCGCGGCGGCGGCGGTGCCCCTCCCGCCTTTGGATTTAGTCCGAGAAAATGGCGTTTCGTATCCGCCATCGCCCGGGAGAGTATCGTTGCTGGCGATTCGGTAATAGCGGCCTCCGCAGCCCGGCTCGGCATTCAATGACCGGGCAATTGGACAATTGAGCTCAATCATAATAACGCTCATACGCATATCGTGCCACACAGAGACGTGTCGTTTCGCCCGTTCACCGCGACGGTATATATTTATTTACCGAAATATCAATCCGCAACCGGGGCGGAATATATGTCGAGCACGTCGAAAATAATCGGGGATCCCGGGTCTACGGGAGTTCAGACGGGGTCGGACGGGGTATTATGAATCTCTCTCCGACATTTAGGCCGCGTCGCGTCGCGCCGCGTCGCGTCGCGGCGAAACGAGACCCCGTTTACGTGTCGCGCCGGTTGCGCGTTTACGCACGTGGCCCCCGTCGCCGAAATTCCAACGAAACTCGCTACTTTCGAGCACGCACCAACTACGGAATATAGTGGAAATCACACCAGCGCGAGTACAAAGCCATGTCTGTTCGCCAGATGTGACGTGCCGGTTGAAAATTTCGCCTTCCTCCTTTCGACCGGAGCAGGATTAGAACTTTCGTCGTGCGTTCGTCGAAATCGACGTTTCCATTGTTTGGAACAATAAACGAGTGCCCACGCACCGTTTTCGCATACCGTTCCGTGAATACATCGCGATGTTACGTAATAATTTCAAGATCAGCGGAAGAGCGTTACAACTTCAAAATATGTGTATTTTTTACGTTTTATTTTAACGGCGGAAGGTTTAGACCTAATTAAACGAAATCGGCGACCAATCCCTTTGCGTGTAATCAAAGAAAAACGTAGTGAAGCAACTGTGAAGGCGATAACTTTCTCTGTACAAGTTTTATATGTATTTAATATATACATATACACTGCCGTCGAAAAGTTTCCGGACATGGAACTTAAAATTGCGTAATATTCAAGATCACCGTAAGTCGTAAAAAATCATCGCAGATAAAAAAAAGCGGTCAAAAGCATGCTAAAGTATAAATTTTAAGCTTTAAAATGCTTTTTTATTTCTTTGTCTACGATGATTTTTTACCGTGATTTTTTACTGTGACCTGAATATTATACAATTTTAAGTTATATGTTTGGAAACTTTTCGGCGGGGTGTATATAATATAAACTATTTTATGATTATATATTGCAACTATAAAAAAGTTTATATACATTAATTCTACACATAAAACTTGTATAGTTGTATATTTTATATAATTGCTGTTATAAATTAGATATTATTATATAAAAATAGTTGCAATTACTATAATTTTACTTTAATTTTTGTAGTTATTTTTGGACCAACCACAAGCATATTTGTCGATAGAAACAGACATATAGTTATTATTAACATTACAATAGTAATAATCATAATTATGATAATTACAGTCACGAATACCAAAATCTCTCACTGTCTCTCGCGAAGATAAACGATCTCTGCGTCTACTTTCGCCATCGATAATTATAACCACGTGGAATATAATTATATCGTCGCGCTGACGCTAATTAATTACCGTGTTCCGTTGCCGGTTGCGGTTTACAATTTAGGAAACCAAGTAAGTAATCGTACACTGAAAGGAAAGATTGATCGCTGCAACAAATTAGATGGTTAAATATGGCATAGCATTTTTAATTGGCTGTAGCAACCAATTTTTGGTTGCGTCAGCCAATCGAAATCTTATACTGACATTGCGGATAGGCTAATGCAACAATTGGCTGCAGCATCCAAAAATTGGCTGTTGCAACCAATTAAAAATTCTATGCCATATTTTCCCATCTAATTTGCTGCAGCAGCCAATCTTTTCTTTCGGTGTAGTGTCACACTTTCCTTGAACGTCGATGGGTGCAACCAAGTGCCAGCGGCTACGATTTAAATAGCGGTGATATGTATGCACGTGGCGTTTCCCGAGGAAGTTTCCCAAGAATGCAAGCGCCGATAATTAAATCGTAGCTACGAAGTCTATAGGAGTAACGTGACTGGAAATAAACCAGGATCATAAGCATCGCATTTGAAAGTCTGACAAAGTCAACGTTTCTCGGTAGAGATTTCACGAATTCCACCACGCGGCGCGAATAATTCTTCCGTATTATTAACACGGATCGTAACGTCGTGCCAATTTCTCGTAACACCTCTTGAACAGAGAGACGTAAAAAGTGAAATTATTTCGCCCAGCCGGAGTCGATATAAGCCGCTGAATAATCGGTTCTCGAATCGTAAATATTTCATCCAGACATTTCTCAAGCCGTTCCTTTTACGCGTCGTTCCTTTTTCGTTCGTACTTCCGCTTTCGCTCCTTCGCTTTCGCTAGCTTCCTCGTCGGACTCGCATCGCTTCTTCCTTCGCGCTATTTTTCACGTCACGTGATTCGCCCTAGCCATGCTTCGTCCCGCTTGTTCCTTTTTCAATACGAAAATACCGCAGAACGGAATGACGTATGTACGTTACAGACTTCCTTTACAAATCTTTGCAGACGCGTCTCGTGGCGCTCACTTTAATTTCAGTCGCGATTTTAGAGAACGAATTCAGTGAAAGAATTTACCGCGAAATTACGACAAGATGATAATAAAATTTCATTACATAATAATTTCGGCTTTCTATTGAAATTTTTATTGAACTTCCCACACATCGTCTTTAAATGTAACGTTTACGGGATCTCCATCGTACACAAAGCTTTCATCTCCCTTTGCAAATATTCCTAGGAAATGTCTCGCTTCTGTGAATTAAACGCTCTCGAAATATAACTCGACTACGGCATTAATAAGCGGCACATATTAGTCATGGATCATTTATATGTGCTATCGCATGCAACTTAAACTTTACACGATTCATATTTATATTTCACTTTTATCGATGCGCATTTATCGATAAGAGCGAGGTATAAAAGTAAGGTGAACCTATATCTTTCTCATCTGCATAAAGTTCGAACACATAAAAGTGTTAAAGGATATTATACACTAAGGCCCAGTTTCACAATTCACGGTTAACTCTTAACCGAGGTTCAACTTATTTCTCATTTTTTTCCAATTCTAGAATTGAAAAGAGATAATGAATATGAGTTGAATCTCGTGGTTAAGAGTTAACCGTCAGTTGTGAAACTGGGCCTAAAAGAAAAGATTGGCTGCTATAGCAAATTAGATGGTAAAATATGGCATAGCATTTTTAATTGGTTGCTACAGCCAATTAAAAATGCTTTGCCATATTTCACCATCTAATTTGTTGCAGCAATCAATCTCTTCTTTCAGTGTACCGTTATTATTAAATGAATAACTGAGCGAGAGATTTTTCCAAGAAATACATATAAAAGTTATAATATTTTTTCTCACCTAGTCGAATGTAAGGCTTTCTTCTTTGTGTAAATCCGACGGACAGGATAGTGAGGATTCCAAAGAGTATGCAGATCCTCGCCATTTCGACTCGCTCGACACCGGACATACGCAGTTAGTGTAATCGTGGCATGGGTGACTTCCTGAAACAGAAACCGTGGAAAGTTTATTTATCTTTCCGTCTATACGCGGCGCTCCGGGATAAAATAGCTCATGGACGGAAAATATCTTTCAACGACTTCTTCGGGAGCAACGAGAGCGGTTGCAACTTCAACTTGATCGCAACCACTATGCAGAAATGATGAGGAAGGGAAGGGAAGGGTAATTATGTAGCAAATAAATGCTAAAAGTATTTATGCAGAAGAGATTTTTATTTAACAGAAGTCTTATTGGTAGAAAATAAATATTAAATCACAATTTATTTATAATTAATACGTTCTGTACTAATATAATAAAAAAGTTCCGAAAATACTTACTCATATATTTATAAAAAATCTTACAAGTTACATTTCTTGACTGTGCGAATATTTTTAAAAAATTTAATATGTTAAAAAATTTATTCGCTAACAAGATCTAGTGTGTGGCAAATGCTCAACCTTCTTAATTAACAATTTTTTATGTATCCGAATAATACAGTTTTTCATTCTTGCTTATTATTAATTCTTAATCTTATCGCTATAAATATTGCATCTAATTGTAAGTTCTAAATCTAAAGCACTCTCTTTGAAGTATAGAATGCAAATAAATTTCTGTCTTAAGGAGAGATTGATAGAGGAAGGTTCAAAGTTTATTTTACCAACGATTAAAAATCTTATAATATCAATCGTGATTGTATAATCGTCTAAAAATTTAAACGATTCTTCTGGACTAAACCTGTTGCTACAATCGAGAACAAAAGATAATATATTTTAATTATTATACGTCTTTTTAGGTGAAATAATTTTAAGAAATATACAATCTAGCTATTTTATTTTTTGTTAATAAATTGTTAATTAATGTTTACTTTCTAAAAATAAGATTTTTTAAAAAGATATCTTTTTTATACAAATATTTGTTACACTCACTGTATGTAAATAGTAGCAGGGTTGGGTAGTGCTAAGTTAAAAAGATAAAAGTTAAGTTAAAAACTTAATTAATTTTAATTTAACTTAGTTACATTTCAGACTCTTATATATATATAACTGTGTATAATTTTATTTAGTTACATTTTATCCGTAACTATTAATTTTTTATTTAATTCTTTGAAGTTAAGTTTCAGACATAATATACGGCAATAGCGATAACTTCAAATTAGGTGAAAATTGCAAAAATGAGCAAATTTACTAGGTGTTGACCAATGAGATTATAAATATTCGAGAGAGAGAGAGGGGGGGGGGGGGG